AAAATATAAATATGTCGCTAAAAAATATTGCACATTTTTATTATTTTTAAAATACCATATAAAACATGTTTTTTATTAGATTAGAATTAGTTCAAATTCTACTGGAAATCAAAAAAACTAACAGTAAAAATAAAAAAAGATAAGACTGAAAACAAATGTACTAAGTACATTATTATTAGTATATATCATAGTATACTAAAATACATTATAAAACTAAATTTCAAAACATATAAAGTTAGATAAATTAGTAAATAAAAAATAACATAAAAAATTTGAAGAAAAATGCTTTTTCAGCAACTTTTATAACTTTATTTGACCGATTTTTTCTTTTTTTCCAAATTTTCAAGATTTATTTGTAATTCCCTTTTATGCTTTATTCCCATATCAATCACAGCTTGTGAAGATTGGCATACAGTTTTATCTAACTTTACTTTGAGTAGTGCTTGTTACAGTTTTCCATTACCTTCCATTACCATAACTTTATTTGACCGATTTTTTCTTCTTTTCCAAATTTTCAAGATTTATTTGTAATTCCCTTTTATGCTTTATTCCCATATCAATCATAGCTTGTGAAGATTGGCATACAGTTTTATCTAACTTTACTTTGAGTAGTGCTTGTTACAGTTTTCCATTACCTTCATCAATAGCAGTTTCTGCAACCTTACATTACATCAAGAATATGCTTTGCATATTCTTGATGTAATAGAATTTAAATAAAATATTTTGTTCAATAAAATTCCTATTAGTTAATTTTTATTTAATGACAAAGTTCAAACAATAAAATAAAGAAAATATACTAATTTAATTAAAACAATGGTGAACAATATACCTTATATCTGTTTCGATAAGTTCTAGATCTGTTTTTTGCTGTTGAAAAGATTTTGCCAGCAACTCTGTTTGGTTTACCTTTAATGATTCAGCTTTTTCTAACCTAGTTTGCTCAGCCAAATAAACTTTATATTTTTGATGAGACTCTTTACAACTTTTAATTAAGTTATTTGTTATTGGAAAATTCATAACTCCACCTACTTGATTAAGTTTATCTTTAACCAAAAAAAATTTTCATCTACTGAACTAGGTATAGTTGGATCTACTGAACTAGGTATAGCAGCTCTATGCTACAGCAATTTCACTTTTGTTCCTAATTCAATTGAACTTAATTTTCTATGGTTTTCAACTTTACAGAAATCAATCATTAAAATTTTAGACTGTGACTTGAACTCTCCATTATCATTTTTTAACTTTTTGGAAAGAATAAATTCTTGAAGTAAAGAGTTTAATAGTTTACACATCGCAGGATAAAGCATGTGAATCATTGGAGATTCTGTTTGAAACTGTGCTAAAAATGTTTCAAAATCTTGTGCTAAAAAAGTACAAAAGCCTAAATACCCTTGAGTCTGAAAATCATTGCGCAGAGCTTCACAAATTCTTTTGTATCTATCTGTTTTAAACAAAGCGCTAAAATTTTTTTGTTTTGGAAGAAATGTTAAAAAATACTTTTTAAGGTTCACCCATTCTTCCAAAATCCTAACAGCAACATATTTCATAGAAAGCCATTTCTTCATGCTTTTCAGCAAACTCAGCAACCAAATTAGTTACATCAACATTAGCATAACCTTCACGCCTGGCACTAGACAACTTAAAAAAAAGTGAATATTAATAAAAAGTTCATCTAAATCAAAGGAAAGCTTTTTAATTCCTTTTCTAAAAGCAGTATGGACTTTATGAAGGTTACATGTACCAAGCTCAATAAAAATATTGTCAGACTTTTTTCTTTAAATCCAGCGATAACTTCATTTCAAAGGCTTTGTTAACATTTGGCCCATCCATCCCAACATGTAAAAGATATACAGAATCCAACTCCAGATCAGTTTCAAATTTAAAATAATGGTCTACTAGTTGGTTGTGGCCACAACGACCAATAAAAAGAGAACCACAATATGACGTTACAATCTCTCCTTTATTTTCTGACCAATACTGAAGATACCCATCATACTGTTTTTTTACCAGGTTAGTTGTTGTCTCATCAAACTTAAAAGTGAATGGTGTTTTTTTAATATCAGATTTCAACATACTTTTAACATAAGGGGCAACTCCAAATTGTATTTGAAATTTAATTTTTGATTCACCTTGCTTATAACCCTTTGCCACAACAGAATGAGGAAACATAGAGCTAAATCTTGCGTTGTCATTTTCAGTTGACTTGAAACTATAATTACAATTGACAACATGTAAAGATCACATAATTTCTGTGTGAGAGATCTGATCATCTATTAGACATTCGAACATCCAACATTTGAAAGTGTGACAGATGTATTAAACTGCTTTTGGTTGTTTTATATTTTACAAGGATCTTTACTGACATGATTTTTGACCTTATCATGCTTCACAAGTTGACTAATGCCACTGGCAGACATACTGAAAAATTTGTTACAATAAATGCAATGCAAACTTAAATTGTTGTTAACATCTTTGACCTACTTGAATCTACTTTCCCAAGATTTTTAGTAAGAGCTTTTGCCCATTTATATATTTTAGTTTTTACTAATCTAGAAAATCTAAATTAACCAAAATAATTCAAACAAAAAGAAGTTTTAAATAAACCAAATAATATATATCATTATGATTAATAAATAAATAAAACACAAATAATATTAAAACCTTTTTTATTAATAGACATTTTCTATATAAAAAAAATACAAGTTACTTTTAAAAATACGTAACCAGAATTTTAGAAACCTAATTTAAAAATTGATTATTTTTATTTTTGCATGCTTAACTAACAAAAATGCATGATTTTACATACTTTGCATGCGAGTGGGAACCCTGATAATTATTGAGTGCCAGTGTTAGAAGTTGAACAATAGCCCTTTTGTCAGAACATAGAATTTTTTTCTTTAACCAAGCTCATAATTTGATTAAAGTTTTCAGCCTTCTTTTTCATGTTATTTGTTTCATTACACAGTTTTGAGGGAACATTGACTTGACTTTCAATTTTTATAGTACCTTACTTAACATTTTATTAATGTACGCAACTTTTCGCTTTTCTTCTGAGAGTATATGTTTTGATGACTTGGAATGAGATTTTAGAAGAGATATATTTAAATTTTTGTGTTCTTCATTGATCTCCTATCTTTTCAATTTGAATAATGATATTAGAAAGTCCTCATCTTGTTCACCCTGACTTTGCCTCTCTTCTTTGAGATCTTCTTTTTTGGTAATATTTTGCTTACAAGTTTGCAAAGTTTTTTTCTAGGAGCAATATTCAAACTACTTCTCATCATGACTTGTGACTCTTTTATCATAACTATGCTAAGTAGTTACGATAAAAGTAATTGAATTGTATAAAGCTTATCTGCACAATTGTTTAAAACTTTGTTTATGTTTTTAAAAATACAAATTAAAAAAGTATATAATAAAACATTTAAATTTTACATCTACTTACTTGTAATTTTCTTTGTATGTTTATTGAATGGATCACAACAAGCTTTCTGTCATTAATTTTCGGAATTAGGAAAAACGAGGTCGGCAATAAATTGCTAAACTGAAATTTTAGACGTCGACATTAGGTAAAAAAAATTTGACAAAAAGAGGTTACCATAAAACATAGAAACAATATCAGCAATTTTTTGCTGACCTCAAACACTTTCAGGTGGGCAGTTAGATTGAGATTGTCGAATGCCAACCCTAATTCAGAGGGTTGTGTTAAATTGGATACATTTTCAAATGTTTTGTAATATGTTTTTCACATAATATTGTTAAGTTTGATAGCTCAGAGAGTTGTGTCAAATAGGATACATTTTCAAATGTTTTGTAATATGTCTTTCACATAATATTGTTAAGTTTGATAGTTCAATATTATAGCATAATGATATAATTATTTTTCTTCATTGCTTAAAGTTTCAATAGCATCTTGTTGGTCTTTGCATGCATCTGATGTCATTAAGCCAATAGAACACATCTTAAGATAAATTACTTATGATGTATTTCCTAAAAAAGAGAGAATTCATTTTTCCTACTTAACTTTCAATAAAAAAAAAAAAAAACGTTTTTAATATAGAAATAATTCAAACCTTTTTAGAATCTTCCTGTTGTATAATGATTTACACTGACAGATAATTTGTGTAAATTTAAATAACATTTTATGAATAAATGATCTATAACTGAACTTTTTATTAACTAGTTTTTATAAACTTTTACAAACTATAGTTGTCAAAATTTTAAAAACAATTGCACATCAATTATCACACTTATTCAGTTTAATATAAAAAAACAGGATTTTTTTTTTCAGTTAAGATCAAATAATTAAGTTACCATATAATTGGGACTTCTTCGTGTTATATGTTTCAGTTGTTTAGATTTTTTTGCCTAGAAAGATTATAAGCAGTTGAAAATATTGACAGGAAAAAATTGACAAAGGTGTTTTGAGATATTGGGCCCCAATGTTGGTTTATAGAAACTAGTTGTTTTATTAACTTTTAAGGATGTTCCTTTAATATTTCAGCATTTTAAGTACATTTATTGAATTCAGCATCAAAAAAAACTTTTATATATGTTTATTTTCATATTTTTGCCCTTTTTTTATTTTTTATTTAAGCTATTTTTTACTTTCATTTAAGTTAAGCATAATATAGAAAGATTCTAGAAAAAAATGTATAATCATTTAAATCAAAATGGTAGAATGCCATGTTAATTTTGAATGAGTGTACCAGTAAAATGAGTCAAAACTATTTTTTAGTTTTAATAAAATTTACTCAAAATAAATTGACACTCATCTACACTGAAATATATTTATAAAGACAAATGGTGAAACATGTTCATTAGTGCTCAAATGTCTTCATTTGTTACTCTGTAAACAACAAACTACATTATCTATAATTCCATGCAAGGCGATTCTACAAATAAAAAGAGGGGGCGGGGGAGAATCCTCAAAGTGTATCGACTGGCTAAAAAAATTATTTTTTTTTAGTTAAATTTAAGTTTTAAATATACAAAATTACCGAAATATTTCTTCTAGCATCATTGTTTGATGTATGGTGTTGATGATGGGCCTATAAAAAAAACCATAACAAAAAACCTATTTTTGAGTTGAGTAGTTAAGTTTAACTGAGAATTTTGTTTGAAAATAGAAAATGTTAGAACATTAGTAAATAAGAACTTTCGAAAAATGAAGAATGTTTGTATGTAAGATGTGTTACAAACTTATAAAAATATGTTAGTATGTTACAAACTATTATTTATTAATACAAAATTGTATTTAATTATTAAAAAATTAAAAAATAATTTTGCATTAAAAAAATGTATTTATATGCAAAAAAATTTTAAATTTTGCATATAAATAAATTTTATATTTTTTATGAAAAAAAGAAAAAAAATTCATAACAAAAATTTTATCGAAGATAAGTGTATTGATTAACTATTTTAATTTTTTAATAAAAAACAGTTTAAGTACTAACAATTCTTTATTTCCAATATCTCAGTCTAATCTGATTTTAAGTATCATCGTAAAATTAGTTTGGATTATCAGATGTATAATAAAACTACAAATAAAATTTTCTATTTAAAAAAAATTTTTTCTTTTTCTTAATTTATCAGACTTCAGTTTTATTTGTAAAATCTTTCTTTAAAATACTTGAAGCAAGATATAAGCACACTGAAACACAACAAAGAGAAACTCACAAAAAAATTGCAGCATTTTTTTGTAATGTAAAACTTAACTTTTTAATGTAAAACTCCCGATGACTGGAGATATATTTCCATTTTACTGTCAAAGTATAAAGTTGTCTTAACTGTAAAACATTTTTTTAATTACCATACCCTTTCTCTGTACCTTTTTTACCAATCTTGTTGTTATTGATGACTTTAATGCTTATCACACTGAATGGTTGGTTCTAAACCACTGACCCTAAACCTCTGCATTTCTCAACCTCTTACTCAGATAGTTAACTCTGTGACTTGTTTTCCTGACAATCCTAACCACTAACCATCACTTCATGATTTGTGTGTTGTCTCCGACTCTAGCTTGTGTTCAGTTTCTCCCTTTTCTCTTTTAGGTAGTTCTGACTATGCAATGATCTCTATAAATCTTCTATTTCGTACTTCTATTTCAGCCCTTATCATCGCACTACCTATGACTACCCTAAAGCTGATTAAGGATTTTTTTATTTTTTTATTTGTGACAGTCCTTGGGCTACACCTCCTCAATAACCTCCTGGATTCAGGGAGGAAAGAATGCTTTTATTCCTTCTTGTAGGCTCCAAGTAAAGTCTCATTCCAATTCCTCATTCCGTCAGTTCCAAATCATGCCTCTTATGGTTTTCACCTTCTTGTGCAGCTTCTACATCTAATTGTAATCATTTTTTTCATCTCTCTCTATTGAGAACTCTCTTTCTTGAGAACTCTCTTTTTTTTGAGAATCTCTTGAGAACAAATCTCTTGAGAACAAATGGCTATTTGTTATTGCAAGAAATTGATGTAAAAAAGTACAACTGTCTGATGCTAAGCTCTATTCTTCTCAGTTAACTAAATCCTGTACATTATCTCAAAAGTTAGGCTCTGGAGACTTTTTGGAAAATCTTTAACAGCATTATTAACAAGGGTAGGTCTAACATTTCATCTCTCATTCATGGGACTGATCTTATTACCATTCCCAATGATAAGGCAGGACTATTTGCAAAGAACTTTTCTTCTAATTTGGACTCTTGAATCTTATGGCAATTTTCTTCCTTCCATTTCAATTAAACAGGTTAACCCATAATTAGACATTCAAATCACTCCAGCTTTTGTTGCTAAAGTCATATCTAAATTAAACTCTTTTACAGCTTGTGGTCCAGACAACATTCATGTCATAGTCTTACAAAATTATTCTCATGAAATCTCTTCAATTCTCTCTATAATTAAAAAGACTCAGTCACTTATTAAATAATATAATTATTTAATAAGTGACTGAGTCTTGTTTCCCTGCCTGTTGAAAAATGGCATTTGTGGTTCTAATTTTCAAAAACCCTAGAGAACATTCTGACCCCACCAACTATTGCCCGATCAGTCTTCTTTCTGTTATTAGCAAGGTCTTTGAGTCTTTGATCAACAAGTTTCTCACATCTTATCTTGAGTCAAATAATTTACTGTAAGACAATCAATATGGTTTTCCATCTTCTCAATCTATGACTGACTTGCTAACTGCTGTGAAATAAATTTTATCATGGTCCTGCTCAAAGGAGCTATCATCTCTAGTTCTAAACTAAAACAAAAACTCATTCTTGCTGGACTCATCATTCAGCTAAGTCTCATTTATTTAATGTATCTGCCTCTGCATACTTTAAAAACTTTTATTTGCCTAGTTTTTTTCACCTGCAATTAGAATTTGCAATTTGGATATGCCTTGCACATTTTAAATAGAATAAAAGAAAGCCGTTTTGAACATTTTTTAAACTTTTCTTTAAACTAGGGATGACATAACTGACATTACTCATATTAAAATATATAATTCACTTACATTTAAAAGTAATTATTTTTTTCATTACATAAATTTAATTACTTAAATTCATAACTCTTACTTGAAAAAGTAATTTATTTTTACGAGTAAAAATAATATACTTTAAAAGTTGTTTACTTTTTCTTGAAAAAGTAAATTACTTTTTTAGGTAAGTCATTAAAAAGTAATTTACTTTGAAAAGTAATTTTGATTTTACTTATTTGCGAAACTTACATTGAAAAGTAATTTACTTTTTTTATGTAAAAAAGTTCTTTTCTGAGATAAAATTACGTAAATGTAATGTTTGAAAAATGTAACACTTTTAAAAGTAAAATAAAAGTACATCATAAAAATAAATTACTTACATGTGTAAAAGTAACTAATTATCAAAGGCAACTTACATAAAAGTAATTTGAAAAGAAAAAAGATTTACTATTAGAAATAAAAGTAAAATTTTTCTTTCAAATACTTATTTTACTTAGTAAGTAAGCAAAATGAAAATTATATTATTTACTTCTTCAAAAAACAAAACCATTTTACAACATTTTTTTAAGGTAGGTAGTTAATTAAAAAGTGGGTTATACTACTTGAAATTATTCAGATGTATGTGGGCCGTTTTTGAGGCGGGGCATTACAAATTATACAAGTAGGAGCTAATATAGTTAATAGGATGGATTTGTAAAAGTAGGACAGCGACAGTGAGGGCCCTTGATCTATAAAGAGCAAAATTAATTTTTGTCTAGATCGAAAGTAGATTATTGGTCCTAATCAAACATTTGAATGTGGTCAAGGGGAGGGCATAATTTTATTTTTTAGGGGAGATAAACTAAATGCTATAAAATGATATCCGTTAAGCGCAAGGAAAGCCAGTTAACCATAGACCAAAAGATCTGTCCACCACAAATTATGAAGCATACAGCTTTTATTATTACTTGGGGACCTAAGTTACTGAAAAGAAGGTTATTGGCAACAGCCTTCTTTTTTCGCCCAAGTCATCTAAGTAATATTCTAATATATTCGAATAAAATAGTGCCTTTAAAATAATTTATTATTTTTTTAAAAATTTCCTTTAAAATTTAACGTGAAAATGGGCAGAACACTATCCGCCATCAGTAGCTTATGTTGCTTTAATGATGCTTCTATTACTCTATTCAAGACTAAAATTTTATGAATAGTTGTGAAAGTGTGTTCATGCTTATTTCAAAAAAATTTAAACAACTTCCTCATTTTAGAAAGGATGTAAACTTTATTCATACATTCAAACTTAATCATAAATGTTGAACTCTAAATGATAAGCGTTATAAAACCTGTCATAAACTTTCACGAATATGAAAATGGAAATTGATTTTGTTGCCCTCACATTTGGGCTAATATTTTAGTATACTTTTGATTTTCTAATATACTTAAAACCCACAACTGCGCTATACCTCAGGTTTAGTGTCGTAACGACGCATTCATTTAATTTTTTGCAAGCATGTAATAAACTTGTTGGCCTCAACCTTATTGGCTGACTGAGAATTTTCCGGAGCTATTTAAGCAAGTGGCTTGTTTTATGTACCACAGCTTAAAACTGAATTTAAAAAAAAAACAGTCCTCTTAAAATTTTCGGGTCTCCTAAAAGTGCGGCACCCAGGGATATAACCACTCTAGCCACATCTTAATCCAGCAATATTATTAAAGACTCTGTGGTCCTATTGACGTTTTCTACTATATCGCAACACCTATTCTCTCTTTGTTATGCCTTTCCACCATTTCTGCATCTACCAGGGTATATGTGCCGTACTGCCGCTGCCAAATTTTGATGGAGACCAAAATTGTCTTCATCTTCAAAACAATATTCTCTATCAACATCATCTTCACTCAAGAAAGTTTGTAATATAGCTTAGCTCAAAGAATAGTTTTAATAGCTAAAACCATAACCATATTAAGATTATTTGTTGCCTGAGGTTATTTTTAAAGTAGCTTTCTTTTTTTGAGTGCTATAACATCTAGAGTGATTTAAGAATTTAAAAAAACAGTCCTTTTGAATATTTTATAGCCGCCGCCTAAACCTACCCATTACCACATAGTCTAGTACTGCCCAATATAGTCATGGTCCGGGAGTAAGAATGGTTTTAATCATCAGCATTTTGATGCCTACAAACGAAATACTGATACATCAAAATTTACAAAGGAAAAAAAAGCCAAAACCACTCACAAAAAATGTCAACAAAAATTAAATGTTAGTTACTTGGATGCAAGTTGTACTTTTTGCATTTCACTCGGTTACACAATACCCTCTCTAATTTATTTTAGAATATAAGAAAATTTACTTACTTATAAAATATAAATTATTTTTAGTTTACTTTAAAAATTATATAAAATATAAGCTTATCTAATAGAATTTTTTCTTTATATAATTTATTTTTTACAACTTTTTTTTTACTTATATAATAAAAAATTACAATTTATATAATTTATATATTATTTTATAAGTAAATTTTATTTATATTTGGTCACCTATTACTTTCATGTAATTCTTTTTCATATAAATATTTTTTTTACAATTACGGTAATATAATACTATTTTCATAAATTATTTTTATATGTAAATGTAAATTACATTTTGATGAACTGTTAAATTATGTAATGTAATTTGAAAAAGTAATTAATATTTATATGTAAAAGTAAATTGCTTTTTCATGAGACTTACTTTTACTTGTAAAAGTAAATTACTTTTTGATGTTATCTGTTTTTACATAAGTTACTTTTGAAAGAGAAAAACTTACTTTATAAAGTAAAAGTTGTTTCATAAAAATTAATTACTTTTTTGTAAATGTAAATTCAATTTGAATGGTGACAATTACTTACATAATAAACTTTTTCAAAAAAATTTACTTACTCATGTAAGTAAAAAAAAAGTAAAAGTGCCATCCCTACTTTAAACCAAACATTTATTTATTTTAACCATTTAACATTTATTTATTTTCTTACAACTAGCAAAAAAATAAATAATTAAGGAATGAAATTGCAGTGTTTGTATGACTTTGAGGCTGAAAAAAAAGTCAGTATTCTTATTTTATAACATGCATAAAAATGTTCAAAATTGCCCTACCTGGGGTAGCCTTAATACACCTAAATAGCTTTGAATCGTCACGGGCAATGTGTTTGTTAACAACACTGATAACAGCACATATGAACAATAACTAAAATAACTATCTACATCAACTTTAAAAGTTTAATAAATAAATGTTTATTTCCAGGCAAATTTTCTATGATTATAATATAAGATTATAGTTTGGGAATTTAATAACTAATAAAATAATATTATATTTACTTTAAAAATTACTAGTTACTTTTTTAAAACAGAAAGTTAAGTTAGTGAAATTAAAAGCATACCAACTCTCTTCATAAGGAAGAGAAAATGATGCATCTAGATTCTTAGCTTGCAAATACTTTTTTTCACACTGAATAACATTTTTATTTGTTTGTTTACAGCGTATACCACCGGATGTGGTATTGACCAATTGATTCATACCTTATCTAAATAATAAGTACATATTTCATAATAAATGAAGTAAAAAAGCACTTATATAACTTTTATCTTCTAATGCCAGAATAAGAAACATACATATAAATATATCAGCCCTTGGAATTAGAAAAAATGAGGTCGGCAATAACTTGCCGACCTCAATCTTTTTGAGGTCGGCATCAGGTTGGCAAAAATTATTTGATACAAAGGTCTGACCATAAAACATAGAACGAGGTCAACAATTTTTTGCCGAACTCAAACACTTTCGGATCGGTAGTTAGGTCAGAATTGCCAAATGCCGACCCTAATTCCGAGGTTTGATATATATATATATATATATATATATATATATATATATATATATATATATATATATATATATATATATATATATATATATATATATATATATATATATATATATATGTATATATGTATATATATACATATATATATATATATATATATATATATATATATATATATATATATATATATATATATATATAAATATATATACACAGGCCTTGTGATGAAGAAGGAGTGATCGTTCTACACACATAAAACACGCTAGTAAATGGTCTTCCTGGTGCAACAAATAGTGCTTGCTAATTTTGTTACGAGAGTCAAAAATTGTGCTCATCTGAAGACCTTGCTAGGGTGAAAATTATAAGTTGATTTTATAAAAAATATTTTTGTTAAAATTTTTCTGCTTAAGTCAAAATATGTTTAACTAAACAATAGAGTTTGCAAATTGTTATATAATTGTAAATAAAACCAGCAAAAGTATATTCGTTATAAAGTATGTCACTCATAAATTAAAATTAAAAATCTTAGTGCAAGAGAGCCAATCATTTTATTTCTCCTATTTGAAAGTTTAATTCAGCATGACGTTTTTTTATTTTAATTCCCTTGCGTTAAATCAAACCATTCACTAACTCGCAATGTTTTTTTGGGTCTATTTGACAAAAAACTTTGCATAACTAAAACTTTTACTTTGAATTAAATAAAATTCTATGTAATAAAATATCGAAACTTCATTAATAAAAATTTCAAATTTTGAATGGTTAAAAATTAAATATCTAGCACAATATTTTATTGATGATAATTTATCAAACTAAAACTTCATTAAAAGCTTTGATTTTGTACAGTCATATTATATTTTTTAATGACTATTATATTTAAAATTCATAAACATTAAATAAAATTCAGAACTTTCAAAGATAAAATACATTTGTGTCAAATATAATTTAACAAACTAAATTTTTTTACTTCGAAAAGTTAGTATTCGAAAAGTTGAAGCTAAACGAATATAATTATATATATATATATATATATATATATATATATATATATATATATATATATATATATATATATAATTATATATTATATATATATATATATATATATATATATATATTTATATTTATATATATATATATATATACATATATATATATAATTATATATTATATATATTACATATATATTCTTACACTAATATATATTATATCAGTATAACTATATTATTTAAAATATTTAGTATTTTTAAGTATATAATCAAGTATATAAAAAATAACTCACTTGATAATTAAATTGTGTTTAAAAAGCAGTTTTCTGTTTTGCACAAACAATGAATAGAAAGTTAAGTCATTATTGCTAACAGTTAGATTGAAATGTTTACTACTTTCAAAACATGTTTTTCCAAATCAGAATAGAAAATTTAAATTATAAAACCAAAATCTTGATAGAACTTTGAGAAAACTTAGTTTTAATTTAATACTTAAAATGAATACATTTTTAATAATAATTCAACTGTAAAAAGTTGATTTAAAATAAATTTTTGAGAACGGCTATAAAATTAATAAAACTTTACAATATTTTATTGTTTTCATTTAATATTAAAGTGACAGTAACATATTTCTTCCGGAAGATAGACAAATAAATGAAAAACCAATGTCTTTTTTTTTTTGATTTGGCAGACTTCATATAAAAAAAATTCAAACAAAAACTGTCCACTCTTTCCCTTTTACGCACTGGTATGCTTTCAGGTGACTCTCTACCCATACCTGCATACGCAATTTAAGGATGATGATTCCATGGGAGGTCTGAAAAACTTGATTTTTTGACTAAAATTAAAATTTTAATGTTTTTATACTAAATTGATAATGCTGAATTCAAATCTGAATACAGTTTTTGATTCAAAGGTTTTGTTGTTCAGATATTGCTTGAGCAACCCAGTCAAGAATTTCAGAAAAAGTTTTCCTTTTTTTGCTTGTTTTATAATATCGCACTTTTCATATTTTAATTTTGTAAACATTTCACAGATATGGTTTAAATTGAAAAGAAAAGTTATTTATTTGTAGAAATAGTTTAAACTTTTCTTTAAATATAGTTTTGATGGAGCTTATTACCCCCTTTATTTAGCAAAATGGTTAGGGTATACAAAAAGAATAAGAAAGGAGGCAGAAAAATCTATGCAACTAGCCAATCAATGACAGATGCCTACAATTCTGTAAGCAGATGTCTGCTAACCAAGAATCCAAGCACTATTAAAAGTATTTTCCAGCACTAATGCTCACAATGCTTCTGCCTCAACATCACTGCTATGTGTATTGCTGTCAACATCATAGCCATCTGCAGCATTGTCAACAGATTCATCACCTTTATTTTCAGCACCTGCAGAAAGACCACAGAAGCCATTGTCTACTTCATTTTCAGAAGCCATTTAACAAATTTTTTTTTTTTTTTAAAGAACTGCAGAGTAGATTTGCGTAAACTTCTGGGGATGGTTGGTTGGTTAGAACCATCAGGATAAAAGATAAGAATGGATGTGCTGTGATAGTAAAACTATCAGACATGAACTGGATATGCGAAAAGTGTCTAAAAATGATGTAAAAAATGAAATACGTTATGTTTTTTGTGCATAATGGTTATAAATGGGGTTACAAAATAGTTAATAACAATCTTGCACTATAAGCACTCAATATATCATTAACTTAATGATATATTGTTGATATCTTAATGATTAAGAAACAAGCACAATAATGGTCTTATCTAGTTAAGATAGATATACAGTATTCAGTTTAGCATTAACTTTGTAAAAATTTGTATTCAAATAATAATTATGAAAATTAGTACAATAATGATATAAAACTATAGAGTAATTGCAACAATCCTATAGTTTTTACTAAAGGCTCAGCGTAAACTTCTTAAGTAAAACTTTGGTTTTTTATTATTCGAAACAGTGGCCGAACTACCACACCGCAAAACCGGGGTGGGGGGGGTACAGAGCTGTAGGGAACCCATATTTTTTGAAGAAACTGTAGTGTTTAAAAATTATTAAAAATTTCAATCCTGTATTAAAGTAAGGTCTGACCGAAAATTGAAAGAAACAAAATATAAAACAACAACAAACTGATCAAAAACAGTAATTTACAAAAATGTAAAAAAACTCCTCTTTGTGGTGGGGGCCTAAATAATATTTTGCGGTGGGGCCCAAAAGTTCCAACACTGATTCGAAACTACGTTTACAACATATGTTCAAATAATAGAGTACCAAACTTTATTGCATTTCTGTTTCAAAATTCAATAAGAGTGTACTAACATTTATTGCAAATCGAAAAAAAAAAAAAATTCAACGATAGCGTACCAAAATTGCAAATCAGTTACAAAATTATGCAACCCAAAACTTTTCGTAAATCAGAAGCAGAATTCCGCAACCAATTTTGAATTAAAATTCGGTAGGTTCTTATTTGCAGAACTATGCAACAAATTTCAATAAACACTGCTATTCGATGGTCTCCATTGCCTTTAGAGGCGGTGAGAGCTCTCTGGTAGCAGAGGCAGAGAGCTCTCTGGTAGCAAAGCGTCTAACTTTTTTCTGTGTGCAGCAATTTTATCCGCTTATGTTCGTGTTTCGGAGTTCAAGGGAGAAGAGAGGGTTGTAGCAACAATAAAAAAATATTTTTTAAATAAGGGAAGTGGTCTTACTGAATGTAGTGGACTCTAATGAACTGTAGTGTACAGATCTGACTGTAGTGTGATGACACTGTAGTGTAGTAAACTGTAGTGGTTCCCGCGGCTTTTGCAAGGTGAATACAGTTCAAAAAAAATGTACAGGTATAATATCATAATAATCGTTAGATATGTTCAAAGTCAAATTTAAGCTTGAAATTAAACTTGTATATTTTTATGTATGTTTTAATGTAGGTTTCTTATAGACCACTTTTTGATTAAAAGAAATTTTTGACTCCAAAATTTTTACTTTTAGATATTAGTAAATGTAATATCATAATATAATCTATTTTTATATTCTATAAAGTCAAAACTGACATAATAAATCGCCGTACAACTTCTTGTTTATTGAGAGTTGAGGGAGTGTTGAAACCATAATTAAAGTAGCCTCCTTTATTGTAGTGACCTTTATGGCCTTGGGGAGGTGACTGAACATAAAAAAAGATAAAAATCCAGACCCAAACAATTATTAATATACAGACATAGATAACATTATTTCTTTAAACACTAAAAAAATTGTTTTTTGTTTTTTTATTTGAACAAGATTTTACTACGGAAATATATCTCACATAAATTATGAGTTCATCAATACTAGAAAACGAAAACTAAGCGGAATTTTAGTTTACCAACAATACCAATAAATCTTAATGGTCACCTTTATCAAAATGTTGTTACAATAACTTTACCTAGAGAGAGATTTAGGGTAGAGGAGTTTTAACATTTTAGACTAATCAGTTTATAAACCAAACTAGTTACGTATAAATTCAAATTCTTAGATCTGTTTTGTTAAAAGTCTTTTTTTCTAAAAAGCCTAATGTTATAGAACGTATTTATCGTCATCCCAGCATGAAAGTTTATAAGTATAACAATTCAAAAGTAAATTTTATTTTTTTTTAAATTTTCGATAAGGTGAATTTTTATTAGTATTTTATTACTGATTAATTAAATAATAATTTACTAAATTATGTTAATAATGTATCTTATTAAGGTTATTATTTTCAAGTTAGATAATTACTTTATTAGATAATGTCACAGAAAATTCTCCAAGCTTTTCCTTTAGTCGCATTTTTATTCAAAACGTGGCGTCGTTGTTTTAATTATAATGAGAAAAAAAAAATCGAAAATTGTGACATTTGTTATCCAGCTATTTTTATCATTATGTTCAGTTTTGAAAAACTAAAGTTCTAATTAGATACTTTTGTAAAATTATCCTTCAATGTCTGCCACTTTTTAATTTAACGCTTTGGAAATAGTGAGTAAACCCTTACGCTAAATTAAAACATTATTTATTGTTTTATTATTCACCTTGTAGATTTGTCTGAAGGCAACATGTTTTTTTAATCGAAAAAAGTTATATGAAAAATTTTCGTTGTTGGAAGAACAACTTATAACAGTTAGGAAATATCCAAAAAATCAAACAAGAACTTTAAATTCTTTAAAAGCGATTTCAAGAAAAGATGGATAGCTGCAAGTTATAAACACAAAAGTTTTATAAAGAACAATACAAAATGGCTAAAATCAAACATCAGACTGCTTTATTGGTCAATAAATGATTGACAGAAACCTTGAAGCCAATCATAATCATTTATAGAGCTTAGTGATTGCAGTAAGTATCAAAATACTATGGGTTTAGCGTGCAGATATCTGTTATGAGTTGACGTTTGCAGCCAGATGAAACCAGCGTTTTTAAGAAATACTGTTGTTAAATTTCTTAAAGAATTTACTGCCACGCCTGCCAGAGCAAAGTAACACAGAAAAGTATTTAAATCTGCTTTAAAAAAATTAATTGTCAGTAAACTAACATCTCAAGAGGTACTGGCTCGTAAAAATTTAAATAAGAAATTTCAAGATTTATCTTCACATATTTGTGATGATAAATCTTGAAATTTCTGATAAACTGATGTTATTCTGGTGAATAACTGATGTTATTCTGGTGAATAACTGATGTTATTCTGGTGAATAACTGGTGTTATTCTGGTGAATAACTGGTGTTATTCTGGTGAATAACTGATGTTATTCTGGTGAATAACTGATGTTATTCTGGTGAATAACTGATGTTATTCTGGTGAATAACTGATGTTATTCTGGTGAATAACTGATGTTATTCTGGTGAATAACTGATGTTATTCTGGTGAATAACTGATGTTATTCTGGTGAATAACTGATGTTATTCTGGTGAATAACTGATGTTATTCTGGTGAATAACTGATGTTATTCTGGTGAATAACTGATGTTATTCTGGTGAATAACTGATGTTATTCTGGTGAATAACTGATGTTATTCTGGTGAATAACTGATGTTATTCTGGTGAATAACTGATGTTATTCTGGTGAATAACTGATGTTATTCTGGTGAATAACTGATGTTATTCTGGTGAATAACTGATGTTATTCTGGTGAATAACTGATGTTATTCTGGTGAATAACTGATGTTATTCTGGTGAATAACTGATGTTATTCTGGTGAATAACTGATGTTATTCTGGTGAATAACTGATGTTATTCTGGTGAATAACTGATGTTATTCTGGTGAATAACTGGTGTTATTCTGGTGAATAACTGATGTTATTCTGGTGAATAACTGATGTTATTCTGGTGAATAACTGGTGTTATTCTGGTGAATAACTGATGTTATTCTGGTGAATAACTGTTGTTAACTTTATTTGTTAACTGGATTTGAAAAAATGTTAA